TTTTTTTTTTTTTTTTGTTCTTGTCTATGTACATATAATAATATTTTTAGTAATTTAGTGTCTTATTATTATGTTTATTTTTTGTGGTTATTATTTTATGCAAGTGATACTAGTCGTTATATTATACATACATAATAATATTTGGTAAAATAAAAATTTATTTTTCCCATCATTATACGATTATGATATTTAATTTAATTTTTAACAGTCGCAAACATAATTAATTTTTTTTTATAGGTTATACAAAAAATGGTTTTATAATGTATAATATTATTACTGTATTTTATTATTATTATTATTATTATTATATCTCGTGATGTATAGTTAGAATTATAGACAGCGCTAAAAGCAATATTAATCATTACCTATATCTGTTTGAATGAAATTATTACGATTATAACAATATTATAGTATATTTTTCTCGTATTATAATATTATATATAGTTCTTCGTTGTGTGTTTGAACCTCGAATAGCTAGGTAGGTACATTATAAATTGCATTGAAGACAAATGTTTTGAAAAAAAAAAAAAGCAATAATTTAAAATAAAATCGTATTAATATTATGTGTTTATTTTTATTATTATCTTTAATTTATAAAGGTTTGTTTGTTTTTTTTTTTTTTTTTCTGAAAAATGAAATAAACTTGAGTGTGAGCAAATTGTGTGTGTTATATATGTTATTACCTACTATCCATCGTCCTTATAGTCGGCGGCATACCCGCAAGGTTAAACTGTTCATCATAGACAACATTTGCACTGGGTACCAACTCAATTATGTAATACTGTGCAAAATAGTCTCAAGAAAAACGTTTGATACGTGTAATAGATTTGAATTGCAACATAATTTGCATGCATTTTTATGTGTTAATATTTAATTTTCGATTTACTATGTTCAGTCTTGTATCCAATCTCATTGAAAATTCCTGGGTATATCGCTGCTCATAGTGTCCGTAAAAATGACCAACAAAAATGTAATCGAACGTGGACATACATTGTTGCACACTGTCAACATATTACAATAAAGTTCTAAGAACATAATAACATCATTTATAATACCAGATAAATGAGAATAATAAGGCAATTTTGCTGAAGTTTCATATTACTCGATGAGCACGATTTTGTCAAACAAACAAAATATTTATTATGTTGTGTACGAATTACATTGATTTATAAATAGATTCATTATGTGATGTCCAGATAAACATTTGGATATTTTTTAAATGAGATTTTTAAGAATTTCGTCAATACTTATATACGCTTACCAAAAAAAAAACATATTTTTAAAAAGCCGCGAGAAAATCGCACGATAAACTTTCGACGGTTTTTGATAAGCCAAACAGATTTTATCCACGTGTAAAACCATATAAGAACTACAAAAAAAATTCTGACAAGTTTAAAACGACAATGAATAGTTAAACCATCGAAAGAATGTTTGTACAAGAAAGAGCTAATACAAGTTTTTAGTGAAAATTTCAAGACTACGATTATTTTCAAATGAATTATAACAAACAGAACAAAATCCAAAATAACGGAAACCGTGCTTAAATTCTTTCGATTTTCCCAACTACTATAAAAATTCACCAAACAGACAAAATTTGCATTTAAAATACGTACCTACCGTTGTAAAACCAATACATTCCTCGGTGCGCCTAGAATCTAAAAAATGTCAATTTTACAATTTTCATTTGATATTATTATTATGCAACATCAAACGAGTGTGAGAGATAATATATCTGTCTAACTGTAATTTTTATATCTTATATCAAGGCCGTACCTAGCTGGACCAAATTTTAGGTGGGGGGGGGTTACACTAAATCAGCTGTAATTTTTGTTACAAGCACAATTAGCATCGGAAATGTCAATGGAAGAGAGGGAAGTTTTCAAGGACGCCCGCAGAAATATAAACCGGGGGGGAGGCAAAATCAAAAGTAAAAACTGCCGTTAACTATTTAATACTTACCTAAAATTGATGCGAAAAAAAATAACAAAATTGTATCTAAATTACCGTAAGCACACATTTCATTGAATGCACTTTTGATTGTTCTTGAAATTCTTATATTTATAAATCCACTTTTTAACACCGCCTTTATCAAGGGTACAGATCAAATAAAACGCACAAGATACAGAAGGTACCCTTTAAAACGCACAAGATACAGAAGGTACCCTTTAAAACGCTCGAGTAACAAAGCCAGTCATATTGGTTGGGCCATACAAATAAACAACATCAGTTTTAAAATAGTAAGAACTATCTATTAGGCGCGTCCAAGGAGATAAAAACACATTTTAGCGTATTGTCAGCAGACTTGCCAACAAAACGACCAATATCATGACCGTTGTTCGATTGGTTAATTATATACTTCAACAAAAAATAAACGGTCCATACTCTACAGTGTATAACGATGAAGTATTCCGTACTTAAATGTATACTTGTAATAATAATATTAAATAAACCGCACCTACGGCGGCGGTTCAACGGCATTATTTGCAATTTCAGGTGTTGAAATAGACGAGTGAGTGAACCGTCGTCAATATTTTGTTTACCATTATGATTTGACTTTTTATAACACGGTTATCCGTAAAAGCGAATTCCCGCGCATGCAAGTCTATTTTTAATGTACCCGGTACGATACTGATACACGGTAAAACATCACTGGAAACAATGTTCCCAGTCGAAACATTAAACGCGAAAATGTGAAATCCGTTGTCTAATATTAGACGCGGCTTATGTTACTGCCGTGGAGGTATATTAAAAAGACTAAACCCGCGGATAATATTTCAATGTATATATTTTTTTTTTTGCTTTGCGCGCGTATAATATCATTAAACCCGTTATCCGTGAACTACACAGAGATAACGCATAGGCATTAATGTGTTCTACGGTGGCCGCAGGATATTAATATTATCGTTTTATCTTACCGCTTACCAGCGTTACCCGCAGCCGTTTACAAAAACGGTTACGGTACGATATGGACCCTTGTGGTCTTACCAAATGTTTAAACTGTTTAAACCGCAGAATATCACACAATACGCAATGTACCCGCGCGACGTTCATCACAGATTATAGACGATGCTAACTGTTCAATGACAACACGTATAAACAACATGCCTACTATTTTTAAATTTTTTTTTTTATTTTTTTGTACAAGTGATAAAACAATTAACAATGTTAATATTAACCGAAATAGCGGGCGCCCTTGGAGTTTTCGACCCTAAAACCCCATTCATATTATACGGCCTCGTCTTATGTTATTATCGCGGCCGGACCGATATTCGCTCCTATACAGAAAAACCTCGATTTAAATAAAATTGAATAACGTTAAAACTGTTTGCGCATTGTTAAAAAAATTATACATTTGTAAACTGTGTATATTCGTTTGTTTTTTAAATGTATTCATACGATTAAATATTTGATTTTTTCGTAACCCCCCCCCACCCTATTATTAATTTCTAATGAGTTATCATAATTCTGGTTACATTATATTATCTAATAAGTCATAAAGTTTGAATTGCATAAGTTGTCCCCGAAAAAAAAAAAACAGGACAAAGCATATCTGTTCGGTCAAACGATTCGATCCACTATCCACATAGTACTTACTAAAGAAAAACAAGCTATACGTAAAAAAAAAAAACTAGAAAATGTAAAATGCCCATTAATTGCTCGAAAATATTTTTAGAATATTTTGACAATTTTACCATATCTAGAAACGACCAAAATAAGATTTCTGTCAAAACGTCTGGTCTCTACGGATATGTCTAAACTATTTTAAACATAAAGCGCGCAAATTAGAAAAAATAACGAAATCGATAACACCGTGGCGCGGTATAAATAATTGTCCGTTTTTCCCTACAAGCATAGTTCCGGTGTTCCCAATTATTTTTAAAATTCCACTGGAAAATCAAAATAAAGAAATTTTTTAATGCAGCGACTAGGTTCGAAGTCCAACAAAAAAAAGATCTGTTTGTCATTTTTCGGTCGGAACGAGATTTACGGTCGGAAATTCGTTTACAGACGGAAACAAACACACACACACACACACACCATAGTAAAACCAACAGATCCCCCGTTACGCGCTCCGGATCTAAAATATCGTAACATGTCCGTTGCCCTTTGCACGATAGACGTCTGGTCATTTTTACCGACGTCGTCTATCGTCTCTGAACGTTGCACGATGCGCGAATCGTACTGTAAACCGAAACATTTTGCCGCAAGACTCGACGGGTGTTGAATGTCAGTCATTTAATATACACCACTAGGCGTTATAGGTACTAAACTACAGACGGTACCCGTGCAAACACGGAATAACCTATCTCGACGAGCAAACGGGTACGCGGTGTTCGATTTCACAATAACATTGTTATTGTTATTTTTTATAATCGCCGTTTAGATAATACGCGCGCACGCAGGTATCGTTTGGAACTCGGCAATCATTTTTAATCCTTACGGGCTGCACGAGCCGAGGTTTCAAACGTGAAGTTATGCATACCTCGTCGTTCAATGCGTATACCTATTGAAGTCTCGAGTCGCACCGTCACAAGCGCGATATTTATATAACGTATACGTATGTCACTTGTTATAAAACGATATTCTAATAGCCGTCGTAACGTTATAACGCGGTTTCGTACGGCCTGTATAATAAACCCGACATTCTATTGTACGCCTACCGATTATTACCCGCCCGAGATTAGACGAGAAGCTAAATTAGTTGATTTTTGTCTCGTGCAGTTTCACAATATCCATGCATTCAACAGCGACCAGATAACTCCACTTGTTCACGTTGTTCAAGAGCAATAAAAAAATAAAACGTTTTTATCGTTTCGGATTTATTACGATTGTTGCGCCAAAATTCTAAAAATAAAGATATAACTCCGATAACTTCCCGTTGAAAACTAAACTCGTAGTACTTATACACGGGTAATGATGTAATGACGGGTCTGTATCGGATTCGTCTGATTGCTGCGCCTCAAAGTACAGAGAATCGTTTTTCTTTAAATTATTGTACCGTCAAAAATTGGATTTTAAAAATTGATAAAAAAAAAAAAACGGAGTACGGTATATCTGGTTTGTGTACATAAGTCTTCATAAAGTATACTTGTATACAGAATGTAATGTAAGTTAATTTGAGGCATTGAGATATTATAGCGAATACACCTACTTTTTTGTTTTTTTTTTTTTTTTATGTTATATGAGAGCTAAATTTTAACGTTTTCCAATAAAAATTAATGCGTGCCCCAAAGAGTGAGTTAAGTACATTTAATTTTGAAATAAACTAAATTCTTTTAACAATTAATTTATCCGATAAAACATGTACACTGGTAAAATGTTAAATGTTACGCACTTTTTTTTGTTTTGGTACCTACTGTGACTTATTTTGTGGTAATTCTGTTAAAAATAATCGTAGAGATCAGACGAGAAAAATTTGAGTGTAACATAAAATTCTGAAAACTTTATATAGGTAAGTAATTTTGTGATTCCGTGATATTACGTAAATGGTAAATCGTAATTCGTAACCATTTAATTAACAGATTGTACCTATTCATATCAAAACTTTAATTGTGTAGTTACTGTGTTTTTTATTTATAATTTGTATTATAATTTTAGTAGATTTACAAAATAACAGCGATAGACAAAATACAGAGTACAGACGCTGCCTGATG